GAAAATTTCAAAATTTGGAGGAATACCATCTAATCGGTATCGAGTTGAGCGTCTATGTTGACGTCTCCTGTGCTCCAAAAGGTTTCAAATTGTTACACAAAGACAAGGGAAAATCAATCGGTATTTATTTTCCGTCACTTCTTTTTATGTTTGTTCAGTAAAGTGTTCATTGTCCAATCATAAAAATCTTTCATAAAAGTGTTCATTATCCGAACTGTTCATTAACTGATCACCACTGTATATAGGTACAAGTAATATTAAATACAAGATTCAAAATAAGTTTTATATTCAATAATATCTTCTATAAATATCAAAAATTTGAAACTTCTAGAAAAAGAAACCTAAATATTAACTAAAGGATTTGCAATATCAAATATTTTGAATAAAATTATTAGAAGCTAAACTTTTTGTTCTTTAAGAAATATAAATTGTGTTTAGTATATAAGTTATTTCTTGATACTATTGATAAACATTCACAGTAACAATTCTATACAGACAATTGTTTTAAATCCTATGCTCTTTTTATATTAATTAATTTTATTACATCTAAAACAAAATTTTCACTTCCTTCAAATTGAGAAAAGAAAGGAATCTCACTAATAGATCATCTAGCATTCTATCATATTCTAACAGAAAACAATATTTTAAATGAAATTAATTAGAAAACAGATGTGATTTCAATTATGACAGTAAACTATGTTTATCAATGCAATTATCTTTAAAAAATCTCATTGCATGCATTTAATATCAAAATAATTCATTTACACAGTATTTAAAATAATTAATAATGTTTAAATAAAAAAAATTAGAGACAGGATTTTTGAAATGAACAATCCTTTCTTACTTGGAATGAAAGTGCTTTATTGAATTTTTCTTCCTTATAATCATATAGATTAATTTATGCATAAAAAATGGTATGAAAATTGATCTGGTTAGCAATAACTTACAGATAATATATTTCCTTCAGTTTATGACCATTTCATATCCATGTATTTTTTTTTATAATTCAGAAAAGATGCAAATTGCAATTTTAAATTATACATAATACATGGTAATCAAATGAAAACAGAACTCACAAGCAGCAGCAGAGTTTAGCAATATGAGATAGATACAACTCAGCCATATCTGACTCATGATGTATCTGTCCACTCTTGCACCACAACAGAGCTTTGTGAAGTTGACTCTGATATCCTCAAACTCCTCAAAATTTTTTCATTTGATTATTCAGTATATACTACATAAAACCCACATAAAGGAAAAAACCGAATATTCCCAACAAAAAAATTAATAATCACAAGCATAAATTAAGATAATCTGTTAACTAGAAATTAATTTTTAAAATATCAATCTCATTCATCCCTTGAAATTTCAAACACTACTAAGTAATTTGTTCTACTAAACAATTCAAATTCTACAGATGTAAAGTTTTAAACTGTTTGAGAATTCAATGGAAAAAATAATCATATATCAATAGTTTTTATANGCTGCCAGCTAAAACACACAAATCAACAAAAAAAAAAAAAAATATTGGAGTAGCCCAAGATATAGCCAAAGATTGCAGCACCACAGCACTAGCAAAAAATTTAAATTTGCCGACTGGAATTCTTTCAGATAAACAATGCTCTACTGTAACAGCAATAAAAATGTTCCATTTATCTTGAAAACAGACTCATCAGACATTAAAAAAGAGGTCCTAGTCTGCTATATACAAGAAAGTGAATTAGTATTTTTCCTGTTCAAAAAAGCCATGCTGTCCTCGTTAGCAATGTAACTACAACAGGCTACTTAACCAGGAAAATTTCAAATAATAATTTCTTAATCTAAATTTAAAACTAAATACTGCATTACGGAGTGTATCTATGCTTAAATAAATAAAAATAGCTAAAATTCTGATGAAAGGTAAGGTTTAAAAAGGAGAGAGAACTAGATGATGGTAGAAAAAAATATGTACAAGTATTCTTAAAAAAAATTCTATCAAGATAAAAACAACATATTTAGTAACACGTAGTGATTGATTTTTCTTAATTTTAAACAAGAACAAATATATTAAAGTAAAAGAAAGGGTCCAAACATGATATATAATAGAGAATTAGTATAGTATTTGTAACTTTAATAACCAACATAACTTCCATGTTTTAACATATAAATACAACTAGTCATAGAGTTAATCAAATTTCTTAACAATTAACAGAGGTCCAAGCTTGAACAATTGCTTCTAATAATTATGAAGTACAGTGGAAACTCAATTAGCAGACCTTGATTGGGCCAAGGGGTCTTTAGATTATCTGGAATTTTGTTTATTCTAAAAACTGTTTGTTCTGTGTGTTTTGGATACATTAAAATTGTGTATTTAATGATTTATGAACTAAAAATAACTGTAATGCAATTACTATATTTGAAAGTAAATTAATTTATTCAAACTCTAACAATGTTATGTATGAGACATTGCAGCACTACAACTGACAGATATAGTAATAATCACCAATTACACAGAAAATTTGGTTTGTGTGTTATGCTCTGTAGTATGCACAATGCTACATGCTCTAGTTTTTTTCCCAAACCGTATCAGATAATCACATTTCTATTGTATTTCTAAAATCTCTCTTGTTGCAATAAATTTTTAAAATTATATTCCCCCATAGATTTGAATTTAGATCAGAGGAACAGCTAACATTCATATTATGCTCACTAAACCATTTTTCATACTGTTTGCCTTATGAACAGGAGCATTATCTTGTTGAAATATTTAACATGCATTAGAAATTTCCTCTAAAAACAGCAAAAGATTTTCAGACAGAACTTCAGCATCCATTTTTCCTTTGATAAAGACTATAGGCAATGTACCAATATAACTAAATGCTTCAATATCATTAGAGAATTTCTTCCATATTTATGCTTGGTAAATATCTGTTCTGTGCTGAGATTGTGCTAGTAATAACATTTTTATGAGAACCGTTTAGGTCAAACATTTTTGTCACTATAAACAATTCTCTGCCATTGGCCAGTCCAGGACATTTGTTCTGTAGCCAATTCAATTTTTACATTATTATTCTGTTAATTTACGTACACACAACTTCTTGTAGAACAAGTTTCTAATAGTATAAACATTTCCTATGATTGTTTTGAGCATATAAGTTTAGATTTAATGATAGTTGCCTGCAAGATATGGTGTTTATCTTGATTTCTTTAAAAACTATGCATTTCTGGAGTGATAAGCCTTTTTTACTTTTTCCCCATAGTTTTCTCTTAAACTTACTTAATGTTGTAGACAATCCTTCATTGTGTAAACCATCAAATTACCTTTCCTCAGTCATTTTTGAATAAGTTTTTGATTTTTGTCAGTTTCTTTAATAAACAAAAAATGATTATGAGTATATTTTTGGACACACCTTATGTTAATCCATATTAAAACCTATCCTTCAACTACTTTAGCTAAAATCAAATTATTACTGTAAAACACACACTTGCACATGTTTACATTTTGATATGCAATCTTTCGTAAATCTGATCTCATTCTACAGATCTAGCTTTGGAAACTTTTGTAAGCATATAAAGCAGATGTTCCCAACTTTTTTCCAAGGACCTTGAGTTTAAAAGAAGAGTCTGAAGGCCAGATACAAGAGATAGAATCAAAGATTAAATTTTTTTTATTTCTGAATAACAGACATAAAACAACATGAACTTTCCAGCTGTTTTTTTTTTTTGGAAAGAATGCCATGAAAATTGAGCAAAAATTCTTTGGCACCCAATATTAAAATCTCTTAAATATCTACTAGACAGTGCTGTTTGATGTTTTAATTTTATAACCCATATTTCATTTTTTGAAAAGTTTTTGGTAAAAGTATGTAGAAGCAAAAATAGAAAAAAACTCTCATGCAAACTGTTGGCAGATATTTGTAAAAATTTAATAAATGCCCTTACTTAAATTAGTTTTTATAAAAATCATTTGCAGCAAGGTCTATTAATTCTAGGTTGAGCGTTCAAAATGTTATAATGCTTTGAACTATTTAAAATCAATAATTGTTGATAAAACATAATCAGCAAAAGCAAGCTATGCAGAGCCAGATTATATGCTTCATGAACCATACGTTGGAATTCCCTAATATAAAACATTTACTTAGAAAAAAATTATAAAAAGCTAAAAAAAATTTCAGTGACATGAAAAATTATGGCCATTAAAATAATAAAATACAGTGGAACCTCGGTATACGTCTGCTTTAGAATACGTCCAATTCGGAATACGTCTTGTTTGGACAAAACAAATTTTGCTCGGTATACGACTTAATTCAATTATACGCGCCATCTATGAACAAGTAGAACTATCGATGTACTACACTAGACTAGACATTCGCAGTGCTACGATTTATAACTTTGTTAAATTTCTTCTGATTTTAATTTGTAAGTAACATTTTATTATTTTTATTAATCATGAATTGCAAAAGGGCAACAGAAAAATAAAAAAATGACTAGAATCACAACGGAACTGAAAAAAGAGATTGTTGAGAAATATGAAGGTGGCACGCGTGTTCGAGATTTAACGAGATTTAACTGTTGCATTCCGTATTCCAAGAACAATGATATCGACAATCGTGAAAAATAAAGACATTATTAAATTTGCTAATGTTGCGAAAGGGGTTAAATCAATTTCTAAACAGAGATCGAAGACATTAGATCATATCGAGAAATTGCTTTTGCTTTGGATACCTGAAAAACAGTTTGTCGGCGACAGCGTATCGGAAGACATTATTTGCAAGAAAGTTAAAAGGATACATGCTGATCTCATGAAAAATCAAGCAGAAACTAGCGAGGAAAGCAAAGTGTTTAAAGCCAGCCATTTTTTTTACATGAAAACGGATTAATCATTTTTACATTACTGCTTATGGAAAAGGTTGGTTTGGTATACGCCCTATTCGGTATAAGTCAAAACACCAGGAACGGATTTAGGTCGTATACCGAGGTTCCACTGTACTTGCTTTCCAATAGAACATTTACAAAATTTTCAAATACAATAACCAAAATTTTACCTATGAATATAATTTTCTCTATTTGTAGGCAAATCATAATTAATAACTAAAGAAACTTGTTGAACATCTATTCCTCTTGCAAGTAAATCGGTAGTAATTAATACTCGACTTGAACCAGAACGAAACTCTCTCATGATGACATCTCTTTCTTTCTGATCCATATCACCATGCTATAAAAGAAATTAATAGCAAAATTACATAACAAATGATATTCCCAAATGTATACATTCTAAAAAATACTGCACACTTTTGTTTACACACAAATATATAAACACACACACACACAATTCATAACAAAAATTAACATAGTATTGGGTGATCGGTTAATGAACATAATCTGTTCCAAGACTTTGTTCGTTATCCGAATTCTTCATTAACAGATTATCGATTTACCATAGGTTTTTATGGGAATTTGATTAATTTGTTCTGGAGACTCCAAAAAATAAAATATATATACTTTTTTACTACGTTTATTTATATGTAATAGTAAAAATAAAAATGCAAGACTGCATATATATGTATTAATCATGTTTTTTCCATTTGTGAATCTGTCCAATGTCTATTGCTTTTCTCTTTTCTTCAGAATTTTTCAGAAGTAATTAATAGTATTGTAATTGTAGAGATCCCAACCCAACCTTATTCTGGTTTAGACGCCACTTGAATGATCATTGACATCCTCCCACTTCTTCAAATGATCTTTAGTAGTTGATGTCTACATTAATCCTCTTTTATCTTCCTCTTTTTCAAAAGAAAACACATCTCGCTGAGTTTCTTGGTATTCTTCATTTCAGAGTTCTGTCATCAAATCAGTTTCATGTTCCATTATGAGCTCTAAAATGCTCTTTATTTCTCAGATGTGATTTTCATCATTCCATTAGCAGCTTGAGACTTCTTGATATATCTTGAATAGCTAAGATTGTGCCTACTGTAGACCTGTTCAAGCTATACTTCCTAGCAACATCAGACATCTTGCGCCCACTTTCTACCTTGGCTATTATCTCTTATTTGGTTTCTACGGTGAGCACAGTTCTTGATACCCCTCTTTTTAGGCTCCATAATATTATCAGTTTCTTTTTTAAATAAAAAGTTCAGAAAAGCACTTACAAAAATTCAGAGAACAGAAATCAACTAGCCCACAAAAAATTATTTAAATGCAAGGCCCAGATAAAATTTGAAATTTGGTATTAAAATGTTAACAAATATCCAATGGGACAGTTAAACTTTCACCTTTCGTAAATAAACCCAGATGCAAAACTTAACAAGTGCCTGTCTGACAGTCTCACGAAGACTATAAAAAATTATTTGTCAAAAAGGTAAACAAAAATCTGGAATTACATGAGAAAATTTCAAAATTTGGAGGAATACCATCTAATCGGTATCGAGTTGAGCGTCTATGTTGACGTCTCCTGTGCTCCAAAAGGTTTCAAATTGTTACACAAAGACAAGGGAAAATCAATCGGTATTTATTTTCCGTCACTTCTTTTTATGTTTGTTCAGTAAAGTGTTCATTGTCCAATCATAAAAATCTTTCATAAAAGTGTTCATTATCCGAACTGTTCATTAACTGATCACCACTGTATATAGGTACAAGTAATATTAAATACAAGATTCAAAATAAGTTTTATATTCAATAATATCTTCTATAAATATCAAAAATTTGAAACTTCTAGAAAAAGAAACCTAAATATTAACTAAAGGATTTGCAATATCAAATATTTTGAATAAAATTATTAGAAGCTAAACTTTTTGTTCTTTAAGAAATATAAATTGTGTTTAGTATATAAGTTATTTCTTGATACTATTGATAAACATTCACAGTAACAATTCTATACAGACAATTGTTTTAAATCCTATGCTCTTTTTATATTAATTAATTTTATTACATCTAAAACAAAATTTTCACTTCCTTCAAATTGAGAAAAGAAAGGAATCTCACTAATAGATCATCTAGCATTCTATCATATTCTAACAGAAAACAATATTTTAAATGAAATTAATTAGAAAACAGATGTGATTTCAATTATGACAGTAAACTATGTTTATCAATGCAATTATCTTTAAAAAATCTCATTGCATGCATTTAATATCAAAATAATTCATTTACACAGTATTTAAAATAATTAATAATGTTTAAATAAAAAAAATTAGAGACAGGATTTTTGAAATGAACAATCCTTTCTTACTTGGAATGAAAGTGCTTTATTGAATTTTTCTTCCTTATAATCATATAGATTAATTTATGCATAAAAAATGGTATGAAAATTGATCTGGTTAGCAATAACTTACAGATAATATATTTCCTTCAGTTTATGACCATTTCATATCCATGTATTTTTTTTTATAATTCAGAAAAGATGCAAATTGCAATTTTAAATTATACATAATACATGGTAATCAAATGAAAACAGAACTCACAAGCAGCAGCAGAGTTTAGCAATATGAGATAGATACAACTCAGCCATATCTGACTCATGATGTATCTGTCCACTCTTGCACCACAACAGAGCTTTGTGAAGTTGACTCTGATATCCTCAAACTCCTCAAAATTTTTTCATTTGATTATTCAGTATATACTACATAAAACCCACATAAAGGAAAAAACCGAATATTCCCAACAAAAAAATTAATAATCACAAGCATAAATTAAGATAATCTGTTAACTAGAAATTAATTTTTAAAATATCAATCTCATTCATCCCTTGAAATTTCAAACACTACTAAGTAATTTGTTCTACTAAACAATTCAAATTCTACAGATGTAAAGTTTTAAACTGTTTGAGAATTCAATGGAAAAAATAATCATATATCAATAGTTTTTATAAATAAATATAATAATCAATTTAATCTCAAGTACATTTAAAAAAATTTTTTATAAATCATTAATTACCATTGCAGATACTGTAAAATCACGTTGATGCATTTTCTCTGTTAACCAATCAACTTTCCGCCGTGTGTTACAGAATATGACAGCTTGCGTTATAGTTAATGTTTCATACAGATCACACAGAGTATCCAATTTCCAATCCTAAAGTATGAACAGTAAACTCAATATCCTCTCTATAAATTAGGTATTAATTTTAAAAAATTCTTATTTAATAAATTAAGAAAATCTTAGATTTGATTTTGTTACATGATTAAACAATTCACAAAATGTCTATTTAGAATATCAAATTTCTCTAAAGAATAGTATGTTCACTATCTTAAACTAAAATTCAATTAAAAACAGTACTAATTATATTTTATACAAGTATAACTATAATTGATTAATGTATTTGATATATTTAATTAATTTATATTTGATTAATTATTATAATTTTTGAAAAATTCTAATTATCTGATATTCATTCTCTAGAAAATATTTTCTAGGGACATATACTAATACTATTCAGAGAATACACTGTGATCATCAAAAACTTATATTCTTGTATCGCTTATTGAAGGTGTGTGTCTTACGAATAAAAGGCCAACACAAAGCCCAAGAGAGAGGGTGGTCATTGACATACTGCCTACTATTATGTGAGTGAATTGCTGCCAGAAAATGTTACTTCAAGCCTATGAAGGACAGCAAAAGATTATTTTGTGCATGCTCATTTTCATAAGTCAAATGATTACTTTTATTCAAAAAATGATTTTATATATAGCAAACATTGCAAATGCAAACAGTTGTAGCAGCAGTAATTTGAGAATTTTTTCAATTTCAGAACAGTTATATTTTAAGAAAATTATATCTAATGACTTGTTTTTCTATTTCACCAATTTTTATTACTAAAAGGAAATCCCCATTCAAATCTTTGCTCAAAAATTGATGATAATTATAGCAGCAATTAATTGGAACTGGTTAATTCATGAACCCATTTTCTAGTTATGAAAAAACTTTAACATAGCTATGTTAAATCCATAATTTAGTAGTTAATAAAAGTGATTATTCTTAAGGGGGAAAACCACACATATACATATTTCCAAATATTCATATTAATAAATTATTAAATACAGAAACATATACGAAGTTTATACTTTAAGTGCATAAAAAGAATATAGTAAAAAATAAATTCTAAAAATACTTACTTCTCTTTCAACTCCAACATAAAACTGTTTGATACCTTCCAGTGTTAATTCTTCTTTTTTCACAAGAATACGGACAGGTTCACGCATGAAGCGTTTAGTAACTTCAAGTACATCCACCGGCATGGTAGCCGATAGTAAAATCACCTATTAAAAATCAAAAACATTTATATAGAAATTTTGATTAATCTTAAAGATTTCAGATCATTCAGTGCAATACTGGAATAAAGAAGATCCTGCTATATAATTAATATAAGTGAAATTTGATGTATACATTGGGTGATCATTTAACAAACATAATCCGTTCCAAAACCATGTTCGCTATCTGAACTGTTCATTAACTGATTATCAATTTACTGTAGATTTTTGTGGGAATTTGATTAATTCATTCTGGAGACCCCCAAAAAATAAATAAAAAAATTGTAAATAAACACAGTAAAAAATTATATATATGTAATAACAAACTAAAAGCAATTTCTCCAATTTTTCATGGATGGCTCATCTTTGTTTCTCAGATGTGATTTTTGTTACTCCTTTAACTGCTTGAGTCTTTTTGATTATATCTTTCATAATTAAGATTGTATCTACTGTAGACCTGTTAAAGCCATACATGCTGCCCAGCAACATAAGACGTCATCTACCCATTTTCTACCTCGGCTATTATCTCTTGCTTGGTTTCTATGGTGAGCACAGTTCTTGACACTCCACTCTTTTTAGGCTCCATAATATTATCAGTTTTTTTAAATAAAAAATTTCAGAAAAGCACTTAAAAAATTCAGAGAACAGAAATTAACTAGTGCAAAAAGGTTATGTATACAACTGTGAAAGTCTCGATCCACAAACAATGCATAGATGCCATTAAAATATAGTTTTACAAAATCTTAAATACAGCATTGCTTTTTGTGTTTGTTCTGTCAAGTGTTCATTATCCGAACATATGTTTGTTGTCCGATTTGTTTGCAGTCCAAACAGTTTGTTAACTGATCATCCACTGTGTTGTTTAAATTATAACTGTCAGTATACACTGCATAGTTTCACATGTCTCAAATTTCCAATGCATTCAATGCAATACAATTTATAGTTTAAAAGTACAAGATAGTTTTATATAAAATTCTAAACTCTAATTAATTTATGTTAGCAATAATGATGTATGTGATTGAAAAATTTATAAAATCAACAACATTTATTTTTAAAATATAGTTATTTGTTGTATATCATAAAATACTTTACCTGTATATTTGAGCAGAGTGTCCTAAAAACATCATAGATTTGGTCTTTAAAACCTCTTGAAAGCATTTCATCTGCTTCATCTAATACAAATATGCGTATATGATCTGTCCCTATAAATGAAAACATTTTTTAAAACTAAAATTATGGCAAAATATAAAACTACATAAGAAATTTATTATAGCAGTTGAACAATTGAAACAAACCATTTGAATTAAAATTTTTATAAGAAAATGTCAATTGCATAAAATTCCTAAATAGATCAGTTATTTGATACAGGAATCAATTTTAATATTTTGGGAAATGAACAAAAACAATAGTTAGAAATGTATGTGGAATAGTTAACTAGATGTCATTGTAATAAATAAAAAATTGTGCACAGGTAAGTTCCGATTCAAACAAAAATGAAAATAAAATCCCAGACAAAATCAGTTTTAGCAGTGATAAAATTCTAACATATACAGCATGTTTCAAAAAGATTCAACATTAAGTTTATTACAGGATAACAAATTACTGTGGAATGAAGTGGTAACCACCAAAAGATAGAACCCACCACCTTTTGCATTCTTGTATTCACTAAAGCAGAATCTGCAACAGCTGTGCAATGTAACTCCTGGTGAAATTTGAAAAGCAGCTTGCATCAGGGAACTCATTTTAAATTGCCTTTCCAAATTCTGGACAGAGTTTGTGCAAAGGAAAAACCCCTGGATGGTCCTCATACTGAAGATAATGTTAAACAAATTAGACTTCCTTCCAGCAGAGCATATAGAAAATCCACAAGAAAAACCAAAAACTACAGATGTCCCATACAATAATTTGATTTATGTGAAGTTGCTTGCATACCATAAGGCCATATAAACTGCAGTCTGTTGCCTTGCTTCAATTATTGCACGAAAATTTGACAAGAACTTTTTCATGAACATTAGAACATTTCTTTTTCATATATTACTTAGTTTTCTATTATTGACAAGAACTTTTCTGTGCTATTCAAGAGATGATGGAGAAGAGTTTCATAACCACCTGGTTTTTAGTGATGATGGAATCATTCATTTGAGTGGTAAGATTTGTAAACACAATGTTTGCATTTGCCTATAGAAAACTCCCATGCAGTCACCAAACACAAGAAATTCTGCTAAGATAAATGTGTTTGTGTGATTTCAGAACTCTAGCTTATGAACCATTTTTCTTTGCAGGAGACATGTCACTAAAATGATGCACCTAGACATATTGCAGATGTGGCTAATGAAGATTCCTCCTCTTTTAGTTGAGAAGTTTGAAAACTTCATTTTTCAAAAGGATGGGGCATCACTTTATTCCCACTTTATGGGAATAAAGTGATGCCCCATCCTTTTGAAAGGCAAAGTTATCTGAATAACAGGCAAAGTTATCTGAATAATATTCTTTGATGTGAATTGGTCATGCCAAAAAACAACCATACTCTCATACATTGGCTCTCCAGATATCATACTTTGTGATTTGAGGATACATTAAAAGCCTTTTGTTTGTACCACCACTACCCTGGTGATTTGAATGAACTGAAAAATCAAATAAGAGCCTGTACACACTAGGCGTTTTTCAACGTGCAACGTGCGTTTTAAAGAACCAAGAATTCTATGTAGCTGTACACACTCAAACACGCGCTTTTGGCCAAGCGCGCGTTTATAGATTTTTGTTAAAACGCGCGTTTTGCGAGCGTTAGCCGAGCGCTTTGAGATATATGTGTTGCCATGTTACCATACATGCGATCGCACATTTTCCCGGCACTTCTAGATTTACGCCGCCATTTTGCTGTATATTCAATCGCGCACTTTTGGGTAATATCTACTTTTATAATATGGAGTAAGTCGTCAAATGATTTTATAGACATTTTAAAAGAATTAAAAAACTTGAATTTATTCTGTCTTAGTTTTGGATACAACGTCGCAAACATTTCATGCGTCAGTCTATCTCGTAATATTGGGTGCACCCANTATTCCGAGAACAATGATATCGACAATCGTGAAAAATAAAGACATTATTAAATTTGCTAATGTTGCGAAAGGGGTTAAATCAATTTCTAAACAGAGATCGAAGACATTAGATCATATCGAGAAATTGCTTTTGCTTTGGATACCTGAAAAACAGTTTGTCGGCGACAGCGTATCGGAAGACATTATTTGCAAGAAAGTTAAAAGGATACATGCTGATCTCATGAAAAATCAAGCAGAAACTAGCGAGGAAAGCAAAGTGTTTAAAGCCAGCCATTTTTTTTACATGAAAACGGATTAATCATTTTTACATTACTGCTTATGGAAAAGGTTGGTTTGGTATACGCCCTATTCGGTATAAGTCAAAACACCAGGAACGGATTTAGGTCGTATACCGAGGTTCCACTGTACTTGCTTTCCAATAGAACATTTACAAAATTTTCAAATACAATAACCAAAATTTTACCTATGAATATAATTTTCTCTATTTGTAGGCAAATCATAATTAATAACTAAAGAAACTTGTTGAACATCTATTCCTCTTGCAAGTAAATCGGTAGTAATTAATACTCGACTTGAACCAGAACGAAACTCTCTCATGATGACATCTCTTTCTTTCTGATCCATATCACCATGCTATAAAAGAAATTAATAGCAAAATTACATAACAAATGATATTCCCAAATGTATACATTCTAAAAAATACTGCACACTTTTGTTTACACACAAATATATAAACACACACACACACAATTCATAACAAAAATTAACATAGTATTGGGTGATCGGTTAATGAACATAATCTGTTCCAAGACTTTGTTCGTTATCCGAATTCTTCATTAACAGATTATCGATTTACCATAGGTTTTTATGGGAATTTGATTAATTTGTTCTGGAGACTCCAAAAAATAAAATATATATACTTTTTTACTACGTTTATTTATATGTAATAGTAAAAATAAAAATGCAAGACTGCATATATATGTATTAATCATGTTTTTTCCATTTGTGAATCTGTCCAATGTCTATTGCTTCTCTCTTTTCTTCAGAATTTTTCAGAAGTAATTAATAGTATTGTAATTGTAGAGATCCCAACCCAACCTTATTCTGGTTTGGACGCCACTTGAATGATCATTGACATCCTCCCACTTCTTCAAATGATCTTTAGTAGTTGATGTCTACATTAATCCTCTTTTATCTTCCTCTTTTTCAAAAGAAAACACATCTCGCTGAGTTTCTTGGTATTCTTCATTTCAGAGTTCTGTCATCAAATCAGTTTCATGTTCCATTATGAGCTCTAAAATGCTCTTTATTTCTCAGATGTGATTTTCATCATTCCATTAGCAGCTTGAGACTTCTTGATATATCTTGAATAGCTAAGATTGTGCCTACTGTAGACCTGTTCAAGCCATACTTCCTAGCAACATCAGACATCTTGCGCCCACTTTCTACCTTGGCTATTATCTCTTATTTGGTTTCTACGGTGAGCACAGTTCTTGATACCCCTCTTTTTAGGCTCCATAATATTATCAGTTTCTTTTTTAAATAAAAAGTTCAGAAAAGCACTTACAAAAATTCAGAGAACAGAAATCAACTAGCCCACAAAAAATTATTTAAATGCAAGGCCCAGATAAAATTTGAAATTTGGTATTAAAATGTTAACAAATATCCAATGGGACAGTTAAACTTTCACCTTTCGTAAATAAACCCAGATGCAAAACTTAACAAGTGCCTGTCTGACAGTCTCACGAAGACTATAAAAAATTATTTGTCAAAAAGGTAAACAAAAATCTGGAATTACATGAGAAAATTTCAAAATTTGGAGGAATACCATCTAATCGGTATCGAGTTGAGCGTCTATGTTGACGTCTCCTGTGCTCCAAAAGGTTTCAAATTGTTACACAAAGACAAGGGAAAATCAATCGGTATTTATTTTCCGTCACTTCTTTTTATGTTTGTTCAGTAAAGTGTTCATTGTCCAATCATAAAAATCTTTCATAAAAGTGTTCATTATCCGAACTGTTCATTAACTGATCACCACTGTATATAGGTACAAGTAATATTAAATACAAGATTCAAAATAAGTTTTATATTCAATAATATCTTCTATAAATATCAAAAATTTGAAACTTCTAGAAAAAGAAACCTAAATATTAACTAAAGGATTTGCAATATCAAATATTTTGAATAAAATTATTAGAAGCTAAACTTTTTGTTCTTTAAGAAATATAAATTGTGTTTAGTATATAAGTTATTTCTTGATACTATTGATAAACATTCACAGTAACAATTCTATACAGACAATTGTTTTAAATCCTATGCTCTTTTTATATTAATTAATTTTATTACATCTAAAACAAAATTTTCACTTCCTTCAAATTGAGAAAAGAAAGGAATCTCACTAATAGATCATCTAGCATTCTATCATATTCTAACAGAAAACAATATTTTAAATGAAATTAATTAGAAAACAGATGTGATTTCAATTATGACAGTAAACTATGTTTATCAATGCAATTATCTTTAAAAAATCTCATTGCATGCATTTAATATCAAAATAATTCATTTACACAGTATTTAAAATAATTAATAATGTTTAAATAAAAAAAATTAGAGACAGGATTTTTGAAATGAACAATCCTTTCTTACTTGGAATGAAAGTGCTTTATTGAATTTTTCTTCCTTATAATCATATAGATTAATTTATGCATAAAAAATGGTATGAAAATTGATCTGGTTAGCAATAACTTACAGATAATATATTTCCTTCAGTTTATGACCATTTCATATCCATGTATTTTTTTTTATAATTCAGAAAAGATGCAAATTGCAATTTTAAATTATACATAATGCATGGTAATCAAATGAAAACAGAACTCACAAGCAGCAGCAGAGTTTAGCAATATGAGATAGATACAACTCAGCCATATCTGACTCATGATGTATCTGTCCACTCTTGCACCACAACAGAGCTTTGTGAAGTTGACTCTGATATCCTCAAACTCCTCAAAATTTTTTCATTTGATTATTCAGTATATACTACATAAAACCCACATAAAGGAAAAAACCGAATATTCCCAACAAAAAAATTAATAATCACAAGCATAAATTAAGATAATCTGTTAACTAGAAATTAATTTTTAAAATATCAATCTCATTCATCCCTTGAAATTTCAAACACTACTAAGTAATTTGTTCTACTAAACAATTCAAATTCTACAGATGTAAAGTTTTAAACTGTTTGAGAATTCAATGGAAAAAATAATCATATATCAATAGTTTTTATAAATAAATATAATAATCAATTTAATCTCAAGTACATTTAAAAAAATTTTTTATAAATCATTAATTACCATTGCAGATACTGTAAAATCACGTTGATGCATTTTCTCTGTTAACCAATCAACTTTCCGCCGTGTGTTACAGAATATGACAGCTTGCGTTATAGTTAATGTTTCATACAGATCACACAGAGTATCCAATTTCCAATCCTAAAGTATGAACAGTAAACTCAATATCCTCTCTATAAATTAGGTATTAATTTTAAAAAATTCTTATTTAATAAATTAAGAAAATCTTAGATTTGATTTTGTTACATGATTAAACAATTCACAAAATGTCTATTTAGAATATCAAATTTCTCTAAAGAATAGTATGTTCACTATCTTAAACTAAAATTCAATTAAAAACAGTACTAATTATATTTTATACAAGTATAACTATAATTGATTAATGTATTTGATATATTTAATTAATTTATATTTGATTAATTATTATAATTTTTGAAAAATTCTAATTATCTGATATTCATTCTCTAGAAAATATTTTCTAGGGACATATACTAATACTATTCAGAGAATACACTGTGATCATCAAAAACTTATATTCTTGTATCGCTTATTGAAGGTGTGTGTCTTACGAATAAAAGGCCAACACAAAGCCCAAGAGAGAGGGTGGTCATTGACATACTGCCTACTATTATGTGAGTGAATTGCTGCCAGAAAATGTTACTTCAAGCCTATGAAGGACAGCAAAAGATTATTTTGTGCATGCTCATTTTCATAAGTCAAATGATTACTTTTATTCAAAAAATGATTTTATATATAGCAAACATTGCAAATGCAAACAGTTGTAGCAGCAGTAATTTGAGAATTTTTTCAATTTCAGAACAGTTATATTTTAAGAAAATTATATCTAATGACTTGTTTTTCTATTTCACCAATTTTTATTACTAAAAGGAAATCCCCATTCAAATCTTTGCTCAAAAATTGATGATAATTATAGCAGCAATTAATTGGAACTGGTTAATTCATGAACCCATTTTCTAGTTATGAAAAAACTTTAACATAGCTATGTTAAATCCATAATTTAGTAGTTAATAAAAGTGATTATTCTTAAGGGGGAAAACCACACATATACATATTTCCAAATATTCATATTAATAAATTATTAAATACAGAAACATATACGAAGTTTATACTTTAAGTGCATAAAAAGAATATAGTAAAAAATAAATTCTAAAAATACTTACTTCTCTTTCAACTCCAACATAAAACTGTTTGATACCTTCCAGTGTTAATTCTTCTTTTTTCACAAGAATACGGACAGGTTCACGCATGAAGCGTTTAGTAACTTCAAGTACATCCACCGGCATGGTAGCCGATAGTAAAATCACCTATTAAAAATCAAAAACATTTATATAGAAATTTTGATTAATCTTAAAGATTTCAGATCATTCAGTGCAATACTGGAATAAAGAAGATCCTGCTATATAATTAATATAAGTGAAATTTGATGTATACATTGGGTGATCATTTAACAAACATAATCCGTTCCAAAACCATGTTCGCTATCTGAACTGTTCATTAACTGATTATCAATTTACTGTAGATTTTTGTGGGAATTTGATTAATTCATTCTGGAGACCCCCAAAAAATAAATAAAAAAATTGTAAATAAACACAGTAAAAAATTATATATATGTAATAACAAACTAAAAGCAATTTCTCCAATTTTTCATGGATGGCTCATCTTTGTTTCTCAGATGTGATTTTTGTTACTCCTTTAACTGCTTGAGTCTTTTTGATTATATCTTTCATAATTAAGATTGTATCTACTGTAGACCTGTTAAAGCCATACATGCTGCCCAGCAACATAAGACGTCATCTACCCATTTTCTACCTCGGCTATTATCTCTTGCTTGGTTTCTATGGTGAGCACAGTTCTTGACACTCCACTCTTTTTAGGCTCCATAATATTATCAGTTTTTTTAAATAAAAAATTTCAGAAAAGCACTTAAAAAATTCAGAGAACAGAAATTAACTAGTGCAAAAAGGTTATGTATACAACTGTGAAAGTCTCGATCCACAAACAATGCATAGATGCCATTAAAATATAGTTTTACAAAATCTTAAATACAGCATTGCTTTTTGTGTTTGTTCTGTCAAGTGTTCATTATCCGAACATATGTTTGTTGTCCGATTTGTTTGCAGTCCAAACAGTTTGTTAACTGATCATCCACTGTGTTGTTTAAATTATAACTGTCAGTATACACTGCATAGTTTCACATGTCTCAAATTTCCAATGCATTCAATGCAATACAATTTATAGTTTAAAAGTACAAGATAGTTTTATATAAAATTCTAAACTCTAATTAATTTATGTTAGCAATAATGATGTATGTGATTGAAAAATTTATAAAATCAACAACATTTATTTTTAAAATATAGTTATTTGTTGTATATCATAAAATACTTTACCTGTATATTTGAGCAGAGTGTCCTAAAAACATCATAGATTTGGTCTTTAAAACCTCTTGAAAGCATTTCATCTGCTTCATCTAATACAAATATGCGTATATGATCTGTCCCTATAAATGAAAACATTTTTTAAAACTAAAATTATGGCAAAATATAAAACTACATAAGAAATTTATTATAGCAGTTGAACAATTGAAACAAACCATTTGAATTAAAATTTTTATAAGAAAATGTCAATTGCATAAAATTCCTAAATAGATCAGTTATTTGATACAGGAATCAATTTTAATATTTTGGGAAATGAACAAAAACAATAGTTAGAAATGTATGTGGAATAGTTAACTAGATGTCATTGTAATAAATAAAAAATTGTGCACAGGTAAGTTCCGATTCAAACAAAAATGAAAATAAAATCCCAGACAAAATCAGTTTTAGCAGTGATAAAATTCTAACATATACAGCATGTTTCAAAAAGATTCAACATTAAGTTTATTACAGGATAACAAATTACTGTGGAATGAAGTGGTAACCACCAAAAGATAGAACCCACCACCTTTTGCATTCTTGTATTCACTAAAGCAGAATCTGCAACAGCTGTGCAATGTAACTCCTGGTGAAATTTGAAAAGCAGCTTGCATCAGGGAACTCATTTTAAATTGCCTTTCCAAATTCTGGACAGAGTTTGTGCAAAGGAAAAACCCCTGGATGGTCCTCATACTGAAGATAATGTTAAACAAATTAGACTTCCTTCCAGCAGAGCATATAGAAAATCCACAAGAAAAACCAAAAACTACAGATGTCCCATACAATAATTTGATTTATGTGAAGTTGCTTGCATACCATAAGGCCATATAAACTGTAGTCTGTTGCCTTGCTTCAATTATTGCACGAAAATTTGACAAGAACTTTTTCATGAACATTAGAACATTTCTTTTTCATATATTACTTAGTTTTCTATTATTGACAAGAACTTTTCTGTGCTATTCAAGAGATGATGGAGAAGAGTTTCATAACCACCTGGTTTTTAGTGATGATGGAATCATTCATTTGAGTGGTAAGATTTGTAAACACAATGTTTGCATTTGCCTATAGAAAACTCCCATGCAGTCACCAAACACAAGAAATTCTGCTAAGATAAATGTGTTTGTGTGATTTCAGAACTCTAGCTTATGAACCATTTTTCTTTGCAGGAGACATGTCACTAAAATGATGCACCTAGACATATTGCAGATGTGGCTAATGAAGATTCCTCCTCTTTTAGTTGAGAAGTTTGAAAACTTCATTTTTCAAAAGGATGGGGCATCACTTTATTCCCACTTTATGGGAATAAAGTGATGCCCCATCCTTTTGAAAGGCAAAGTTATCTGAATAACAGGCAAAGTTATCTGAATAATATTCTTTGATGTGAATTGGTCATGCCAAAAAACAACCATACTCTCATACATTGGCTCTCCAGATATCATACTTTGTGATTTGAGGATACATTAAAAGCCTTTTGTTTGTACCACCACTACCCTGGTGATTTGAATGAACTGAAAAATCAAATAAGAGCCTGTACACACTAGGCGTTTTTCAACGTGCAACGTGCGTTTTAAAGAACCAAGAATTCTATGTAGCTGTACACACTCAAACACGCGCTTTTGGCCAAGCGCACGTTTATAGATTTTTGTTAAAACACGCGTTTTGCGAGCGTTAGCCGAGCGCTTTGAGATATATGTGTTGCCATGTTACCATACATGCGATCGCACATTTTCCCGGCACTTCTAGATTTACGCCGCCATTTTGCTGTATATTCAATCGCGCACTTTTGGGTAATATCTACTTTTATAATATGGAGTAAGTCGTCAAATGATTTTATAGACATTTTAAAAGAATTAAAAAACTTGAATTTATTTTGTCTTAGTTTTGGATACAACGTCGCAAACATTTCATGCGTCAGTCTATCTCGTAATATTGGGTGCACCCAAAATTCTCTTTGCCTCTGCCGTCGTCTTTTATAGCGACGATAGAGGAGCCACACACAAGCAATCACTTCCACATCCATTTCCAAACCGAGCCAGTGCGCACGCTGCGCTAAACGCTCGTTTAAAAACGCCTAGTGTGGACACAGCCTAAGACATTCACTATCATCAACATGGAATATGCTAGTATGTGTTTAAGAACTGGATTATTGACATGACATCTGTCACATGGAAAGTGGTACACACAATGAATTAATGTAACAATTCTTCTTTCCTATTTATGGGGCAGGTTTCAAGTTGCCAAAATCTGTTATCATCAGAAATAAATTATTGAGAAGTTTCAAATCTTTTTGAAAACATGCTGCATTTTTATAACAGTACAGCCAATCTGAGTTAAATTATTTTTAATAAACTGATGATTTCACTGTTAGAAATTTCTCTAGCTTTACAATTTCATTGTCAACTCATAGTATTCAAACACATGACTGATCTATATATGAGGGTCATTCTAAAAGTAAAGAATGTTTGTTTCTCTAAATATTTTTATTTAAGACTAGCTTACCCGTCGCGCATTGCTGCAATCTCAGAAGAAAGGAAATTCAAGCAAACTCGTTATGATAAAATTCAATTTACATTTTATCATTTTTAGTGAAACTTATTATTATTATTCATTTTCATTGGAAAAACATTTCTATTTATTTACTGGAGTGCTTGTGGATACACGATATTTTTTTGTTTTTCCGTCTGGTGTGTACACGAATAAATCAGGTTTTCCAACGCGTGAGACGGCCACATACAGTTGTCCATGTGAAAAGCACGGATTCTTCAAATGTAGCCCACACACTTGCAGCGATTGTCAGAAGTGCGATATTCCCCATTTTTATATATATATTTTAATCCTTTACAATTTTAATTATTTCATTGCTCCTTCCTCTCTTCCTTGGCATGTTGTGAAATTTCTGATAGTTGGATAATAAACTGTTTTATTGTAATTTGTCTTCTTAAATTATTTTGAGTTGATATTAAAATTTGGAAAAGGGGGGGATACCTAGATCAGTAAAATAGGCGAATTTCTTCCTACAACTTCGGTTGTTGTTCGGGGTACAGTTAAGGTTTTAATGAAGTTCGAGCGAATACATAATTAGCAAAAAAAAGTTGAAATAAAGTGATTAAACAAAAATTATTACAAATATCGTAAATAACAGTTCACAAATGCATATATAAAGATACTTTTTGAAGGGGGAAATTCACAATTTGAAAACGATCGAACACACAGTGCTCGAACGCTTGTATAAACACGCGCCATCTATCGTAGGATAAATGCCAGAAACCTTTGCGGGAGTGTATTAAAAAGTTTCCCAAAGCTTAATGGCAATCGTACTATGCCAGAAACCTGCGCGGGAGTATATTAAACAACTTCCCAAAGTTTCACAGCAATCGGATAAATGGCGTGGTAATGCATGAAGGACATAAGACAGACATACATTCATTTTTATATATATATAGATAATGAAACAAAACTTATTTTACAACACACATGATACCTTAGCTATATTTATACATAGTCGTCATACAAATTTAAACATTTCTCAGAGAGTATCATCAGCTTTTCTATGTCTTCTGCACACTCAGTTACCGCCAAGTTCTTGAACCAGTCGTTAACGACCTTTTTCAGTTTGTTGTCACTTCCATAGTGATTCCCTGCTAAAAAATTCTTCAATTTTGGGAAAAGATGTAATCACTTGGAGCCTAATCTGGGCTATAAGAAGGATGTTCAAAAACTTTCCACTTAAACTGCTGAAGCAAGTTCTTTATTAATGCAGCAGCATGCAGACATGCGTTATCCTGAAGCACAACGCCTTTGGACAACAATCCCTGCAGTTTGTTTCGAACTGAAACGTCATTCATCACATCACCATAAACTCCGGTTATCTGTCTGTAAATTTCAATAGGGCAGACTTTTTTCGCATTCAAAAAGCATATTACACTACAAACCTCACACTTGGCGGGATCTTTAAGTTTGCCACACATTTCAAATTCACACTGTAAACAGTAAACGATCGTTGTGGCTTGCTGTTAGCATCAGACTGGAGCGAAAACATGGGAAGGTCCATGACATGGCAGTGGAGGGTGGTGGGAGAACTGCATGGCTTGTCAGATCAAAACGTTCTTTTCTTTTAGAATGACCCTCGTATATAAAACAAATATTATTTCTTTATCAACAAAAGACTTAATTCCTTGTTTTTATGCATTTGTCATAATAAAGAAAAATTTTAAAAACAATACAAAATTTAAATATAATTAAAATGTAGAAAGCAAACTTACATTTATAATTCTACACACAAATTAAGATACGAGTTGTGTAAGTTTTTCATTCTTATTTTAGTTATTCCAAGATTTAGAACGCTTTAAATCATATCTTGGATTTAAATATTATATGAAATAATCACACATTCTTTTTCCATATTAGTTAGTTTTCCAATTTTACAAGTAAAATCCAATCTATACAAACTAGTAACCCGGGACGCCCCCTAGTGGCCGTTGTTTACAAATTTCCATGGAGCACGGTTCCTTTGACTTTTTTGTTCCTATCAATATGCTCTACAGCTCTGTTAAAGTCCCAATGGTAAGAATAGGTGAAGAGGTGGCGACTCCCCCAAACTGTAGCCCCCTGTGCGAACAATAAAGGCAAAGGAACCATACCCCTACTCGTGACCCTTCGCGAGAAATAAGCCCCTGAAATAATAAATTACTATTACAAATATACTGAATTATTTATATTGTTATATTAAACAAATAACAATTTATTGGCCAAATGAATAATAATAATTCATATTGTTAATTTAAATAAGAATTAAAATTGTTAATTTGAATGTTTGAAATATGACACACGATAGGGGCACCTCTAGTGTCCGTTATCAAACAGTTATGGGACAAACAGATGGATACCCATTGAATGGGTTATATATATATAGATACAGTTGACCCCTATAACACTGTTGATTATTCCATTTTATATGAATTCCATATTGTACAAGTCACTTAGATTTTATAAATACATGTGCCGGGCTGTGAACGGCTCACGTATTTGTAAAATCTAAGTGACTCGTACAACATGGAATTCATATAAAATGGAATAATCAACAGTG